TTGATCCACATTTGGTGTGCTAGAGTTACATCATGCTGCCTACCTCATCCGTTCAGAATGGGTAGCGACTCCATTGCTGACCAGTATCCTCTTGGTCGTTTTATCGATCTGTGGCATCCGTTGTCGCCCTGTTGCATGCCCGGCTGCCAGAAGACGAAAAACGGGTTCGCGGAGTTTTCGTAGCCTGCCTCAGTTCCTCAACAACCTGCGCAGCCGTCGGTAGTTTGGCGACGACAGAGCCGGTATGATGTTTGATGACGGCTATTCCATAAAGGGCATTTGACTAAGATTTATGGGATACCTCGCTACGGTCTCTAGCCCTCCTCGTTTACCATCCGGGCTTGGAACCACTGTAGAGTTAAGTATTTAACAAGAAGTTCATTGGATCAACATAGTTTCGAAGTCTGAAGTTTCTGCTCTGCGATAGAAAAGAACGGTGGACAATGAAAATAGATGGCGGGAGGGGGGAGGGCCGGGTGCCCATATTTGAGATGACATTGTTCATTTAGAATCAATGAATAAATTAATAGACAGAAACGAGAACAGAAAATGAAAGGAAAGGATTCGGTTGCATTGTAAGTTTTTCGAATTCGTCCTGGCAAAATATATCTAATAGTCAACCTTGAAGGAACAGGATGATCCCTTCGAAGAACTCATGAGAAACACAGCCTGCTGTTTAATCTTCAGTTGGCATCAGTAATCAAAACAATCGGTTAATTGCTTGTTTCGTGTTATGCTGGCATCCGACACACATTTGACACAAGTTTGCTGTTTCATACAATGATACCAAGATGAAGATGGATCTGACCACGGCTGAGGTCTCTTTATCCTCGCGAAAGGTCATTTGCTCTACAGGAAAGTGAAATGCAAGTGTTATACGGTAGAATTTACGAGTGACGGCATGCAGCACGTAAATGTACACACAAGTATCGGTCAGTCTAACACTCTGATGGGAAGCCTAAACTGGTCCGTAATGGTGAAGGAGCTGAACATAGCGCGAAACTATCTGTCTTCCGTTTTAAGTCTTCAGTATCCATCTTCCTTTATATGCGGTCATGAGTACTATATATTGACCGAAAGAATGCGATCCAGGATACAAACGGCAGAAACGAAGTTTCTTGATGAGGCGGAATATGATTATACTATTAACTCGAATTTGTTGCCATTCCCTCTAATCAAGACGTTAGAAATGTAATGGCTTGATCACTTGACCGAAATTCTGAACATTATGTAATGTCGCGCCTTAGAATCCAAACTCTTGAACTTGCCTAACTGGAATCATCATCAACAGCTTTTGTCGATCCACTGCTGAATGAGGACCCTACCTAACACTTTGCCATTAACTTTATTTATCTGTCATTTTCATCTATCTTGATGCAGCATTCTTTAACTCACCCTAATATCGATCTGACGGTCTTCCTACGGGCCTTTCATTGTTATAATCAATTCAAATTTTTCCTTGATCCAGCAACTTCTGGTTTTTCTTACAATATGTTCAGTCCGTTGTAACCTTTTCAATGAAATAACACTCTAGTTTCTGCACTTACCTATTCATTCGTTTCCCTATCATTTACTCTTATTCCCAACATACATTTTTTCATTCGCAATTGATGTGTTCTCCTGCAATTGCTATCCATTCGACCAGAAAGAAATAGTGAACTTCGAAAACGAAAATAACACTGAACGGTTCCCTTTTCTGTCCGTGTTTTGCTCTCCTGTTAAAATCTTTTAATTTTTGCAGAGTGAAATTTTTGAGAACAGACACCTATAGCCAAATACCTTGAACATAAAGTTAGACGGAATCAAAGTAACATCAGCATTTGACTCTGAGGAAAACGTTCTTCATGCTCTCTACCGACTCGTTTGGTAGCTCGACTGATCAACGCATAACTGACAATCGAAATAAAAAGGAAATTTTGCAACCGTTGGAATGCCGATCTTCCTTAACCTTCATGGTAGGGTTATTTCTTTCCACTTTTAATGAAGTTAGTGGTGTGTCACTGATCCCGTTTTCGTACTATCAATCGACTGTGTCTTATTTAAAGGCAAAGTCGACAGAAGCTGTGGCAAGCAAGTCTGTTGCCGCTTGTTTCTTTTAGGAGAACTTATCAACCTCGAAAAAAAGAAACGAGAGTGACCCGATCAGAGCTCGAAACCGCAACCTCTTGGTTTTGAGTCAGATGCTATACTAAGTGTGCAATCCTGGTTGGCAATCGAAATACCGTACGTACATTTCGAATTTCGGCCGGGTTCACCCACCTTTCGTCTTTCCGAGGTAAATAAACGACTAGCACCATGTATGGGAGAGAACAACATTCAACGATGAGCCTAGTATTTGCAACACAGCAGTTGCGGGACACTGTCTTCATGAACATGGCACCCAAGCCCAAGCGACATCACATGTGGAAAGATCGGTACTGCATCATAACCTATAGCAGAAGACATGTGACAAAAACGGTGACCTCTCAACGCCATAACCCGTCCTTTCCTTTTTCTTCCATTCCGTAATAACGCGACGTTTGACTGGTGAAACAGCTCCACTACTTTGCGGTAAAGGTCTACATCTAAAGAGTACGCAAAAGTTGTCAACGCTTTTGGCGGTCAGTGACGTTTGGTGCCAACCGACCGACAGGTCCGTTCGATTATGAAGCTGCGATTAATCTTCGTTCATCAAAATCGTCCGCTACGTATGAGCGGGCCGGCAACATGACATAGTAACCGATTTTCCGCGAAAAAAACTTTAAGTAATGATCGCGAACCCTGTAGCGGACTGGGTAGCAATGCCGTGGTCGTCACGTGCACACGCGAATCGTCAACGTCATCATTGGCAACAGTTATCACGCCAACGTTCATCGAACTGGCCAGCTTCCAGAAAAGCCCAGTCGCTCGGCACAGAGCTTATGACAGCAAAGAGACAACAGTCAGCAGATCGTTTGCGACGATTTAATAAGTAAAAAGTATCACAATCTCGCAAAAACATATTTTCACTATTTTCTTAGAATAAAACAAAAGAATTCACAAAAAAATAGATACAGGTCCGTAGAATGTTTGAAGAGAGACACGTCATCCATCGTTCACGTTCATCGTCCGAAAAAAAAAACATTCATGGCACGGACTGGAACGCCACTGATGTGCATTAACGCTGACAGTAATCAATTTTACGCATCGGCAAAAAGGTCATCTTTCTCGACCACGTACGAACACGGAAAGTAGCCGACCTAAAACAGTGACATAAAACAACGTAAAATAACGGGACTAGCAAAACGAGAGTATCAAACGAACGTCATCGCTGATATCGCCATGAAACGTACTGTAGAAAAACGTTTGTGCAAAAGTTGTTTTTCATACTAAAAAAAGGAAAGTTTGCCCACCTTGGATGATGGTAGAAAATCATAACATTGTCAAGTAGTTCGTTTCCTTTCCACCCAGCTTCGTTTTCTCATTTACCATTCACGTGACGATGAAAGACGAATGACCCGGAAAGGATCTGAGCCCACGATTAAACGATTCTTCCTTAACTGGCCGCAAACACACCTGCGCACAGCTAGTTTAATAAACATCATGCGGTACAACTAGTTGCTTATGAGGACAAGCCAATAGCCAACGCTTTGGTCACGGTTTTCATAAATATTGTTTTAGGTACAGTAGGATATCGCTGGATTGGGAAGAAGAATAATAAACAAGGCCCTTAACTCTGACGCAAGATTTCAAATCGTTACCCACCAGAAACAGGGACAAACAGCAGCATCTGTACAAGGTCTGTGATATGGAAAATCGTCGGTCAGCAATTTTTCATAATAGACAACTGATCGCGCTATAAGCTGTTTAATAAACTGTTCGAATTGTTACATTTGGATATAAACTGTACAGTGAGGGTGTTCAGAGTCAGAGAAATCACTTCTTTATCAAGACTAACATGACTAATGTACGAGATTACATGAAGGGGTATTCGCTCCTGAGCCGCCACAACAATCATCAAGACCTACCACGAAACCGGCCACAGAGAGGTGATCAAACAGCAGTAATCGAAGGGACAGTAATCTTTGCATAACATTAGGTCAAATCTGTCTAAGGCAAGGATACCATGATTACAAACACTGCAGCCAGGGCAAGGCAAATGGGAGATTATTATCAATATTTATCTCCACATTGATGAACCATGGTACCGGCTATCCTTTAAGATTACGTTGTTAGATTCCATCTAAAAATCCATCTAATGCCACATCACCACTGTATTACGATCGTCACCAGGGCCAGTGGCGCCGGTTCAGCCAAAAAGGTAGAGGTTTGCGTTGATTTCTAAACTTTCTCTTACAATCACAGTATCGGGGAGAGTAGGAAAAGGGATTTTTAAAGTAAATGAGGGGTCAAGCCGTATCTGACCAATCAGGTCACTCGCCTTTCTTCATTCCAGCTTTCACAAATCCCTACCACCCAATGGCAAAGAAACAGGAGACTACACGCTATGCTTGCCACATATCTGTTCTCAACAATAATATATAAATAAGGCACTCCTGACTGATGACAGGGATATGGAGATCAGTGCTAATCAATTAACCCTATGTCAGAAATGTACTAATCATGAAAGCGTAAAGAAAACCGTCATTTCAATTAACATTCCCTCCTTACATGCTTTATCATGGCAAAACACATGTGGTATAATTATTCAGGACGTAAAACCTGAACACTACGACTGATGATGTTGGTCAGTCGCTTCTCGCTTTTTCCTAGTCCTCTTCACTCTGTAATTCAGTGACTGGACTTTCAACTGCTCATGAAGGGTGGAAACTGTGTTGCCGCACTTCACCATTCCATAACCAAACATGCTACATTTTTTCAGTGCAAGTTCAAAATGGAACAGAAGTGGAGTCAAAAAAGAAACAACGAATATCTTTCTTAAAATTCCTCATCAGAGTCTCTTTGCTCAGCTGCTTCTCGGTATGTGAAAGGTATAGACGGAAACACACACGACCGCACGTAACGTTACAAGTCTATTTCGTACTTCGGTCAGTACTGGCCCCCAATCCCCCTCCATGAAATGGAGGAGGCGCACACCAACCGAAACAAAATCACGCAACGTTGCCACGAAAAAGCCAGAAATAAACTATGCATTACCTTTTCGTCTACCTTCCCCTTCCACCAGCCGCGTTCACTGTCCTTCTTGCTAAGAATGATGACCCCTTCGCCGCGATGGATCGATATCATGTTCGAAGCCGTCGCTTCGAAGTTATGCAAGGCGATCGCATAGCCCACAATCAGTGACTTCACCGGTATCTTCAACGTCGTGTCCAACGACTGAAAGCTCTGACTAAGGCTGTTCTCTTCGTAGAAATTCACCAGCTGCACGAGACTCGGGAAGAACTGTCCAACGTCTAGGTAAAAGCCGCGTTCATTACGTTCCACCTTTATGTGCTTTACGTCGATCTTTTCCACCGAGTAACTAAAAGCAGTAACTATTACAATTCAGAACCATAATTTTTT